TTCCGCGAAGTGCTGCTGCTACAGCTGCTGCTGCTGCTGCTGCTGCTGCAGCTGCCGGTGCAGCTACTGTCCGCTGCTCCGGGCCTCGCCCACTATCTTACATTGTTCCGTCTGCCGGGTGACACGTTGGCGTTGGCCCGGCGCTTAGCCCTGCGGTGTCGGCCCTGCAAGCTACCCTGCAAGTTGCCCGAAGTAATCCTGTAAGTCGATCTGCAAGTTACAACAAAGTTATCCTCCAAGGTCCCCCAGCAAGTTAACCTCCAAGACACTCGCCATGTTGCCCCACCTAGTTGTACCACCCCATTCTCTCCACATGTTGCCTCAGTTACCCCACCGGGCGCACCGCTGGAGGGACGATCACTTGCACGCGGCCGCGGCAACAGCTTAGAGGAGCGGAGGAGAAAAATGTTGTGGAAACCGGGTTCGATACCCGTGGAGGCACATATATGAGATGAACGTTGCCTTGCCGAGGGCGTGTTAGCACTCGGCGCTCGGGCCGCTTCGGCCGCGGCCCAGCTCCACGTCCCCCTCTGTCTCTCTCTCTCTCGCTCCCGCTACCAGGGAGCCGCGGGAGCAACCGCGACGGCCGCGGCGGGGCGCCGGGCGCGCGGCGGACGCAGCCGCGGAGGTGTACGCCCCCGAGCTGCAGCCCACCACGCCCCGCCGCGCCCCGCCGCGCAGTGCAAAGCACGATGCGCCCAGGGCGTCGCCAACGGTACCCTGCCAAGATTGCCGTCCAGATCTGGAATTGGAACGTACACCAAGCGAGCAGGGGGCGGGCGGGGCAGCATTCCCCACCGGACCAGCACAACCAGAATGGAGCACACTCCCGTATCTGGGCGGGAAAATTAGACTTTTCGCCCGGCGGAGGACGATCGCGGCGGCGGCGGCGGCGGTGGGCGAGAGAGCCGGGCCGGGGTCGGGCCAGAGAGCCCGCGGGCGGTAAACGCAAAGAGGGGATAAGGCAGCCAAAAGACCGTCCACGCAGCAGACGACACCACTTTCACTAAAACAATGAAAACGACCGGAACGCGTCCCCGAAATTCCACACTGGCATGTACACCACCACCACCACCACCAGCAGCAGCAGCAGGACCAGCTACCACCAAGCCGGCGCCGGTCAAAGGCAGTTCACTGCGGTGCATCGACCAGTCACGCGGGCTAAACTTCGCGTGCGCGGCGGTCGCAGCAGGGCGCGCGGTGGATATTAGAGCGCGAAATCCTTAAAGGTGGGCAGCGGGGTCCCATGTCGGCACCCTGCGTGTGGACCGTGTGGACGCCACACGCGCCCCGTTCCGCCTCGCTGGGCGACAGCGGCGGCCGCTGCTCCTGTGCGGACCCAAACGGGCGGAAGGGAATGCCCGCCCCGCGCGCCCCGCCCGACACGGACGCGGGACAATGTGTCGGATGAGAGCATGCGAACGCGACGAGCTCGTCATTTTGTTATTTTTTTACTCCGCTCCTTTCACGTCTGCGCGGGTGCTGCGGCTGCTGCTGCTATCTGTCGGGCATCTTGGCAGCGGCAGCAGCAGCAGCAGCCTTCTGACAACTGTTCTGACAACTATCCTGACGCGTAGCCTCTCTCAGCTCTTTGCATCCCGCCGGACGGCGGCCGCGCCCCGGTCAGTCCGGTCGGCAGTCCGCGCCTGCAGGGCAGCAGCAGCGGCGGCGGCAGGACCCTGGCTTGGCCTGGCCTGGCCTGGCGCGTACGTCCAGGTTTGACTGGACTAATCTGGGTCACACTCGGGCTCGGGGCCCGGGCGCGGCCCCGCCTACGCAGCCTGCCTCTCTGCCCGTCCACCCCTCCCCCCATCCCCAACCTCCCCGCACAGCGACGCGTCGCCGTCCCCGCGACTTTTAATTAAAAAATGTTTGCTCGCGGGATAACGATCGCCGGGCTGCTGGAAATGAGGCGGGGGAAAAAATTGAGCATACGGACTTGGGTCGCTTGGGTGTATCCAAAAGCAGCAAACGCCGACGTCGCAAAGGGCCGGCTGGAACCGATTTCTCTAGCTGACTTTCAAGACATAATTTGGCGAATGAGAATTTTGGGGACGGAAGAGGGGTTCGTGCGAGACGTGTGATGGTCGGCGTCGCGGACGGAGGACGAGGGGGGAGGAGGAGACACCGCTCCCTGCACCGGATTCTTGTCGAGTCCATTTCATCGAGAAGTGCTAATCATCGTTTGACCTTTCGGCCCCGCTCCACGCTCCGCGCACGTGGGGCACCTCAGCCCCCCGCCCCCCTGGAGGCGCGTGGCGCGCGGCCCCGCCGGGGGGCTCGCGAGCCGCGCGG